AGTTCTTATACACATTTTAATAAAAAGCAAGCCACGGCAAAACCCGTGAAGATTAAAAAAAAAAAAAAAAAAAAAAAAAAAAAAAAAAAAAAAAAAAAAAAAAAAAATTATTAATATTTTTTAATTTATTTAAAAAGTTGTAAATACTTTACAAAATTTTAGATAAATTTGCCTGAAATACCGATTAAAAGATATCAAAAAAGATAAAAATATATACAGTATATATAGACCAAAACGGCCGATCATAAAATTTTTAGGGCCCAAAAAAAACTATTTAGTAAATTTAAAGCATAAATAGTTAAGTATCCGAGTTTTACGCACAATACTTGATTATTATTATATAATGCAAATCTAAAATTCACTAAAAAATATTTGTTTCTCAAAAATGGCTTAGTAATTACTTTAGACTTAATTTTAACTTTGGATCTAATTTTATATTAAATCTAGGTAAAATTTTTTATTTATTGGATCTGGAGCTCGCTCACTCTACGCTACATCTTAAGCAACTCGGCTTTTGTTTAGACCAACAAAAACAGACCCATTCCTGAGTACGTACGTACGTACGTACGTAGCTGAATATGCATGTTACACGTGATTTTAAAAAACTGTATATGACGAAAAGTACTGTTTATCGTTACACTTCTTTTTTTTTTTTTTGCTCATACGATTTGAAGTCATTAAAGCGATACACAAAATTAACTATTAGTAGTTTTGTGAAAGAATTTCCATTACCTTATATCCTTAATCTTATATACAAAAGCTAGACTATCTTGATATAAATGACGCATATGTTTCAGACATTACACCAAGGTGATGAACAAGATTCTCAATACGATGGTAAGCAAAAACAGTCTACTGAATTCGTACTTTGCTGGATCTCGCGCAATAATATATAAGTTGTTTTTAGCTTTTTTGTTTCAATTTTTCATACCGTTCCCGGCCTATTGTCTTTAAAATATTTTGGCGGTCTCTCAATCCTTGTATGTAGACGCTAGTCATTTTACTCCTGGTCGATTCCGAATATATCCCACAAACATAAACACAACACTCCGACCACCTCCTTCCCCCGGAGAACCTGACGAACGTACTCACCTTTTATTTGGGATAAGGCCAGCAAAGACACAAGTTCTAGAATGGATTCACGTTGCGTGGAAACGTACATTGATACTGAACGTGTTTCCGGTAGCAGTGGTATGAATTTTTTTTTTTACAATTAATCATTTGAATTTTCAAATTGATTTTTTTTATTTATTATTGTGTTTGTTAACGTTTATATAGGTTCTTGCATGGTGTGCTGTTCCTTTCCCAACTTATGATCCAAGAAATTCAATAAAGAACATTGGATTTTTGAGTGATATAAATATTTTTCATCTACCAAATCATGATGATAATCCTGTAGAAATCAATTTTTGGTTCTTTTTATTTTTCTACTATGGATTCTACAATGCAATAGCACTTTTATTGGTCACAAAAATGTTCGATCTGTACTCTTTGAATTGGTGGCCAAAATGGCTCGGTGGTTGTTTCGCCTATACCGTGTTCTGGCTTTTGTCACTTATTAGTGGTGTGATAGTATACCTATATACCAGTCTGGTAAAATTCAATTTGACGTGGGTCTTGCTCACCTTCATCACGATGAATATGCCATTATTGGTAGGATTCATTGTCATTCGTGCGCAAACAAATAGAAGCACTTATCGGCATTCGTTTACGCTGGCTCAAAAGACATTCCTTGAACGTCAATTGAAAAATCGGTTGCCTAAATCATACGTCCGCTTTTTGTGGTTCTGTTTCACTTTATTTATCGTAATTGCTGCATTCACAGCTGGTGAGGCGTATGCTTATGTTTTCCTAACAACTCCGGAAGCGCATACAGGAATAGATGCATTCGTTTACGTCTACTCATGGCTTGCAACAATTTACATACTCGATGCAGTCACAGAGTATATCATAGAATCTCGAGTCAAATCGTATCCTCTTCAATTTACATTCAAACTTTACTTTTTTATGATCTATTTCATTTTCTATCGTAATCTTTTCGCACGACTTCGTGATCCGGATCAATATATCCTTATCCAAGCTGCCAGTTCTTTATGGGTTTGTATATTTTACCCATTATGCATGACACGGACGGTCCATAAAAATCTGGTGTGCTTTGTAGGGCTTCGAAAAGACTATGATGAATATAAAAAACAATGTGGGAGATCATTTTTTATTCGAAATCTTGCAGAAAACGCGACAATGCTTGGGTTTATTTGCTGGATATGTATTATACATTATGGTCCCAATTATGAAGTATATCCTTATTTTAAGTTCATTGAAGAGGGAAATCCTTTTGACTTTGAATTAACTTTGAGAATGAGTATGATTATTTGGGCATTTGAACTCGGAAGCGCTGGTATTACCAGAACAATATTCAGAAGAGTATTCAAGCATAGTATTTCGAAAGATGCTGTTAAGGACTTTGACCAATACCCAGAAATGGTTGTAGCAATGATTGTGATAATTATACACGTACTGCAGGTATATAATGTGCTAACAGTTAACTAAATTTGTTTATGGTTAACATCGTAAATAACAATTTTTTTTTGTAATTTTTTTTTATATTATAGGATATGTTGATGGCACTTCTTAATCTGAATTTTAAAGGTGCACTTGGTTCAAAATATAAACCATAGAAAAAGATAATACAAATGTTTCTTAATTTGCATGAACTTGGATATATGTAATTTCAGTTTGTTCTCTTTATTTTCATTATAAAATACCAAGTGTCATTGAATTAGATTGTCCATAATGGGTTTTTTCGGAAAATAGTTCCTTTACTAGGCTTTATATTTTGTTGTTGTCATTAATAAATGGAGAAATGCGCTGGAATTTGATTTCGCATTTCATGCACTATTCTCACAACCTTCATTCACCCTTTTTGGAATACGTTTTGTATCTTTTCATTAATTTTTTTATTTTTTACACGAAAATTATTCACCAACTTTTGGGTTATTATTATTTTACATCTGAATTTTTCTTACATATAATGCATATTAAAATTTTTGTCATCATCTATAGAAATCATAACTTGGGGTGAAAAAGTTATAATTTAATTAAAAATGTTGAGTGTTAATAATACTTCGTATCTAATATATTTTTTACACGACTTACGCATATTAATATTTGGTTTGTTATTCTGAAAACACTAATTGGTTTCTTCGGGTGTAGAATTTTTGTTAATATCTGCTTGGGGCTAAAAAGACCACATTTAAGGAGAATTTATTAAGTTAGAGAGCATCGAATCTCAATATCTTTTCGTTATTGTTTAGATCGAATTAATCGTGAGTGAAAATCAATATAAAATACACGTAATTAAAAACAAACTAAAGAATCGTTAAATAATAAGCTGATTTGATACAACACGGAGCAGCAATGATACATATCTATTTTTTGGTAAAGCGTCAAATTTAAAAAACTTTATTAATGAAAACTTAAATAATTTTGGTACCATCTGATTCGTCTTATCGAACCGAATCGAATGATATCAAAATCATTCGTTTCTGATCACTGCATCACGAAATATTTAAAGTTGAAATAATTTGGGTATTATGACGAATTAGGATTATCTCGTGATCCCGAGATCAGAATCAGATGAAATCTGTTACAGGAGCGACCGTCGATGTTACACGACTGACTTTTCACCCGGTGTGCAACATATAAAAAAACTATTTTACAA